AAAAAAAAAAAAAGAACTCTTGCTGTGTGTTCAGAGGATGTTGCTTCAGAGTGCCTAATTGTCAAAGAAAGACTCTATGTGGGCCTGGGCAGTTCATGGGTTATGGTGGTGTAGGATAAACCATGTCCATTTTATGTGTAAAGTCAATAAGTTTTGATATTCCACTTTCCAGCTAGCCATCTATAGCTACTTCCTACTCCTACCCCTGGCCCCAGGCATTTACTCAATTTACTCATCTGCTTTTTTTTTTTTTTTTTTTTGAGACAGAGTTTTACAAGCCCTTCACAAACTGCTTTGGAGGGAGCCTCACCCTTGTATGCACATGGTGTGCAGTCCTAGAATAGGACAAGGGGATGGATGAGACTGTGTACATCCTGTGCCATAGATGGTGATAACATGTGCCATAAGTCATGTTCACTTTGGATTGGACCCCTGCCTGCCTGCCTGGCGGTGAGGGCTGGTGTGCTTTGGAAACATAGAGCAGTTTCTGGGGCATCAGAGTCCATGTGGTGTTAGCATCCAGGGGGGCATTTCTCCATAAATCTGCCCCAGCCAGCAGTGTACTTGATGTGTTCTGGCAAAAGAGGGGGTTCCTAGTAGACAAAGGTGGGGCCTCAGTTCCTCCCTCTCCACCATCTCCATCTTTCATCTCCACCATGCATGTGGAATGTGTACAACCGCGTAGTTCAAGCTGGAGAGTGGACCCAAGTGACAGGGCTGCTATAGCACAGGTGCCAAGAGTCCAGTCACCTCTTGAGTCTCAGGTTGCCCATCCTCACTACTTCTACCTCCTGTCATGCCCAGCTGATGGGCACTGGAGAACCCTCCCCAGCCAGAGGTTGGGACCCTGTGTGCAGGCTCAAGCCCAAGTCGTAGAAAGGTACCAAGCAGCTCCAAAGGGTGCACTCTGATCCAACTCACAGGATGGGTGCTGTCTGTGGTTCCATCCCCATCTGTAACGTGGGGTTAATACTCCCCATGTGTGCAGAGTTGCTTTGCCAACCCTGGGTTTGTAGTGGGTGGAGAGGTAGCCACTACAAATGCAAGTGCCACTTAACTCTCTTGGGAGAGCTGTGGATAGGCCAGGGTGGGAGAGCCTCTCTTCTCAGTAGATGGGGCTGGAGCCCAGAGCTGAGTGGCAAAGACAAGAGCCCAGCGAAGGTGATGCAGGGCATCATGTCAGTGAGAGATAGTAGTCCTGGACTTCAGTGGGGGATCTGGGATGGTTGGTGCAGAGGTGGATTTGGAGGCTGAGGGTCATAGTGACCAACCATGGGTAGCATCTGGGACACTAAAGGTGCATGCTTGGGGCTTAAGGTGTGAGCGAAGGTTCAGGTTCTTTCTACAATGCCGCCAGAAGGCTGATTTTGGAACAGCTGAAGCATCAGTATTTATTTTGACTGACTTCCTTCCTTCCTTTCTCCCCCCACTCCGTTGCCATTCTGGTCTCAAACTCCTGGCCTCAAGTGATCCTTCCATCTCAGCCTCCCAAATACAAGAGTGAGCCACTGTGCCTGGCCTGAAAATACTCTCTTTATATCTTGCTCCTTAATAACTGGAGAGTCTGGATTTCCAGGTATCTTTATTGACATTTTCCCATTTTTTCTATAGGATTCTGTTTCACTGCGACCATCAATCCGATTTCAAGGAAGCCAAGGGGTGAGTCTTTTTGTCTTAATCGTATTTGGACTCATGGAACTGGTACAATCTCAGGCCTGTCCTTGCTTGGTTATTGGCACTGGGGCTGGGGACAGTGTTTCGTGAAGCCCCATCTACCTCTGTGTAAGGCTGGGCTCTGGGGTCTGCTCAGTTGGTCCCATGGCTGGAGGAGCACCAAGCTGGGTCACTAGAGCCCACAGCAGGCCACCTGCATGCAGAGGGTGACTCTCCTCTGCAAGTGGCTGTCTCAGGGTGCTCCGTCCTACACACTTGGCTCCCAGGCTTCAGGTTCCCAATCTGTTAGTGGGTGCCAGGACTATGGATGTTTGTCAGGATGTGGGTTGCAGGAGAGGAGTTCATAGAAGCTCTGCACTATCTAAATGACTATCTTATAGAAAAAGCAGAGAATAAAAGACACAAGTTGTCTTTGCCCTTCCAGTCTTAGGATCTCCCATTTCCCCCCAGCTCCCTCCTAAAACATGCCTTGGAGCAATTTGATTTTTTTCTTCTAGTCTTTATAAGTCATTAAAAGACATATTTATCTATTTGTTTGTTTTTAGAGACAGGGTCTCACTCTGTTGCCTAGGCTAGGATGCAGTGACTAATCATAAATCATGGTAGCCTTGAACTCCTGGGTTCAAGTGATTTAACCCCTTTAGCCTCCCAAGTGTTTAGGACTACAGATGCTCACCACTATCACCTCTAATTTTATTTTATTTTATTTTTGAGACAGAGCCTCAAGCTGTTGCCCTGGGTAGAGTGCCGTTGCATCACAGCTCACGGCAACCTCCAACTCCTGAGCTTAAGCAATTCTCTTGCCTCAGCCTCCCAAGTAGCTGGGACTATAGGCACCCGCCACAACGCCTGGCTATTTTTTGTTTGTAGTTGTCATTGTTGTTTGGGAGGCCTGGGCTGGATTCGAACCTGCCAGCTCTGGTGTATGTGGCTGGCACCTTAGGCTCTTGACTGACAGGCGCCAAGCCACCTCTAATTTTAAAATAAATTTTTTTTGTAGAGACACATCTTGCTGTGTTGCTCTGCCTGGTCTCAAACTTCTGGCCTCAAAATTGCCCTCTCAAAGTGTTGGGATTTACAGGCATGAGCCATCACTGCCTCGCTGGTTTTTTGTTTTGTTTTGTTTCCATTTAAAGAGTTTCCATGGTGTATCAAAGACAGTTTCTACCTGACATCATGAGGGTTCCTCAGAGCTAGCGGGGCATAGGGGCAGGGTATGGATATGATGATCTGTGGGCTTCCAGGTGTTGCTCAAGGTACTACAGAGACAGAACCTGTAGGAGACTTGTATCTGTGTGTACAGATGTGAAAAGATCCATTGTGAATAACAGGCTCAGGCAGTTATGAGCTGGCATGTCCTTTGGGCTGGCCAGAGACTCCAAAGGCAGCAGTCCCCATGCAGTTTTTTCCTCCTCATAGAAATCTTAGTTTTCCTCCTAAGACCCTTAGAGAACAAGCCCACCTAGACCATCGAGGGTTACTTTTACCTATAGTCAGCTGGTTGTAGATCTTGACCACATCCACAGAATACCTCTAGAGCAAACCTAGACTGGGTGTCATGGAATACTGATTCCCCAGGGGCTGCAGCCTGGCCCGCTGACTTGACCCTGCAGTTCATTTAGCCCCTCCTGGTTCCTTCTTTGAGACAGAGTCTCACTTTGTTGCCTTTGGTAGAGTGCTGTGTTATCATAGCTCACAGCAAGCACCAACTCTTGGGCTCAAGTGATTGTCTTGGAACAACCTCCCAAGTAGGTGGGATTACGGGCGCCCATGATGCCTGGCTATTTTTAGAGATGCTCAAGCTGGTCTCGAACCTGTGAACTCAGGAAATCCACCTACCTCAGCCTCCCAGAGTGCTAGGATTACAGGCATGAGCCACCACCCTGGCACCCCTTCTGGTTCTTGTGGTCACCCTTTGCTGTCCCCTTTTAACCATCACTGGGGATGAGCTTGGCTGCCAGAGCAGTCCTACAGCGCCCTCTGGTGCCCCACAGTAGTCACTATGTCTTCTGCAGCCACCTGGCCCCAGATCTAAGCAGCCCCCCACTTAAGCAGCAGGAAAGCTCCCCTATTCCTCCGCCCTATTATCAGTATTTATGCCTGTCTGCCGTTGCTTAGTTGTGGCAAAAGTGCACAGCAGTGTAACCCTTGCATGCCACATGCTGTGACATGGAGCCTGGGTGTGTCATGGCAGCCTGTCCACACCCACATTCCCTACATGGATAGCATTTGGCCTATGTCAATGATGAGAAGGCACCAAATGAGGGAGTGCTGAGGCTGCTGCAGGACCTCCATGGGCCTCCTGGGGCCCTGGATATACCCTGAGCTGGGGACAGGAACCTCCTGCTAAGTGATGTGAGGTGAAGCAGTTGCGGTATTTATTTTATTATTTTTTTAAAGACAGAGTCTCACTATGTCGCCCCCAGTAGAGTGTTATGGTGTCGTAGCTTATAGCAACCTCCAGCTTTTGGGCTTAAGCAATTCTGTTGCCTTAGCCTCTCAAGTAGTTGGGACTACAGGTGCCCATCATAACATCCGGCTGTTTTTTGGTTGTAGTTGTCATTGTTGTTTGGCAGGCCCGGGCTGGATTTGAACCCACCAGCTCTGGTATGTGTGGCTGACATCCTAGCCGCTTGAGTTACAGGCACCAAGCCCAGCTGCTGTATTTGATTAGTGGGGTGTTTGCTCTGGGGCTTTCAGTCCTGGGCCATGCTTCTGGCAGGCTGTGACCAGGCCCTTAGAGGGGCTTTGTGGCCTGAGACATCCCATGATCTTCCACAGATTGTTCCCTGGAGATAGGTTGTTCACAGATCTCATTAGCTGACATTTTTCCCCCTCCTTATCTCTGTCCTGGGTCTCAGGACTGGAGGACGATCTGCTGATGTAGCATGTTCAGGGCCCTGTGTAGATGAAGGGACCCATCCCCATGGCCGACAACAGACCTGATCTGCAGGTGGCCTATAGGTTCCTTCGATTGGAGACCATGGCTAGACCTTCCTCTGTCTGCTGGCTTCCTTGTCTCCTTCTAGGTTAAACTCAGTGTCAGAATAACTAATGTCCTATCTGTGGCTCAGAACAAGCTAGCCCCTCCTATGTGTTTACCCTTGCATGTGAAACACTATGGCCAGTGTAGGGTCTCAGCATCACACACTCCTGGGGTAGGGCTACCTCCTTCCCTGCCTGTAGTAAAGGCCCCAAGAGTCTGGCCCCTAAAGGTTGTAGCATGTGCAGTCCAGGCCTCGGCCCCAACCCCTTGTAGGCAGATTCTTTAGAGTGACTTTATGGCAATTGCCACATTCCTCAGGAGAGCCAGGCCTACCTGTAGCCCAGCCTCAGAGCAGTATGTTAGTCTTTTTTTTTTTTTTTTTTTTTTCCTTGAGACAGCCTTAAGCTGTCACCCTGGGTAGAGTGCTGTGACATCACAGCTCACAGCAACCTCCATCTCCTGGGCTCAAACAATTCTCCTGCCTCCACCTCCCAAGTTGCTGGGACTACAGGTGCCTGCCACAACACCCAGCTATTTCTTGGTTGCAGCCGTCATTGTTGTTTGGTGGGCCCAGGCTGGATTCGAATCCGCCAGCTCAAGTGTATATGGCTGGCACCTTAACTGCTTGAATCACAGGCGCTGAGCCTAGTGTGCTAGTCTTTATTTCATTTGTCCGGTCAGCAATACTGAACCAGGCTCACATGCAGCCCCCTCAGCTGTCTGGGAGTTATTGCTGAGTTTTAACCCAGAGAGGCCAGCAGTCTCTAAAAAGGAAAAGAAACCCCCACCTGGCTGGCCCCACCCCTGAAACTCTTCAGCAAAGTACCAGTTACTAAAAAAAGAAAAGTAGGGGTTGGTATTGGGGGCTTCTCCAGGTGTCAGGACTTTCATGCCCCACAGGGGAACCTGAGTGGCAGTTTATAGAATAAGATTTGGCAGGCTTGTTAGAAGCCTTTGACTGGTGTCTGTGAGTGTAGGAACTGATTTTGTGGAATTAATTAGTGATGTGCACAAAGATTGAGCCACAACGGGTGTTTGTTGCTGTGAATTTGGAAACAGTCTAAAACATGGGCCTGGTGGCTCATGCCTGTAATCCTAGCACTCTGGGAGGCCGAGGCAGGTGGATTGCCCTGAGCTCAGGAGTTCGAGACCAACCTGAGCCAGATCAAGACCTTGTCTCTTTAAAAAAAAAAAA